CAACACAAGCGGTCGTCCTAAGGTGGAAAAGGAATAATCCTGCAGTGGATTTGTTGCCATTGGCCCCACTCACATTTCTGTCGTCTGGCCTGTGACCATATTGCCTCAGTACACACGAGATGTTAACTACCTCGCCTGGTACACAGGAGGTCGTGGGTTCGATCCCGACCCTATAGCTGTCAACCCATACGGTTTAACCCCGAATTCTTGTACGGGTAAATTTAGTTTTCAGGTCCATACGGGCATTTTGTGTCTATTTGAGTTTCTCCTTTGTGATGGGACTTTGGAGGTTGAACCTTGAGATTTATAATGGCACGGGGTGACAAATAAGATCTGAATTGGTCTGTAATACGCCAGGGATGCGACCCTGACGTCTGCTGTATATTTAAAGTTTGCGTCTCTCTCTCGCTGCCTGGTCTCGTGTCTTTTTTTTCTCCGGGTCCTCCGGTTTTTCCCTCCACATTTAGAAACATTCGTTTATAGTTATTTGATATAAACCACTTTGTTGAGCTGTCACTTGGTGGCCATGTCGCTTCTGAAAAAAGCTACAGGATATAGCTTACCTGGTAAAATTTAAATAGTTTCATATTTCTTAAATAGTTTTTTTTTCAGATTTCAGAAGCCAAGCAGGATTTTAGCCTGCATGGACAGATGCTTAGATCGGTGGTCACATTGCACAATCAGGGTAGTCATGGGGCTGGTGGGAAGAAAAATCCGAAGTTTTGTACTTCGATGTTTCACCCATCCGCGCTGCGAGGCGCTCATCCAGCAGTGGATTGACACGCGCATGTCCGGCCAGGTAGTCGAGTGGTAGGGTTGAGTGCTTCGCAATCGAAAGGTTGCGAGTTCAAATCTTGGGAGGGGGGGGGGAGTGTGACAGCCAAGGTACGGAATGGGTTCATGAGTTTGGCCACTGAGGAGATGAAGTGATGAAATAAGCTCGTGTGTGAAGATGCCATGTGGATTAGTCTATCGCAGCATGCTGAGAGATGGTGGTGACTTGGGCAGGCTTTCAGTAGAAGATTGCCCATGGCTAATGATGATTGTCAAGTAATATCATTGCTATTACTTCTGCTATTGTTATGCGTTTCATTGCTACAGCTTACGTCACTCACTGCTTCTATATCAATTAATTAGCGAATGCTGCTGTTAACCCTTATGCATTACAGTACTGTCACCACTGTTTTCACAATCTGTACTAGATTAAAACATTCCTTAAAGAGATGCCTGGGACATATACACGGTAACCGTAACTACAACATTGCTGCTTCCAGACTTCCCATAAAAGGCACCGCATTACCCAAATTGTCAGTCGTTGCATAAAGCAGCTTACGTGACTTTGTCCTTTGTATTACTTGCAATGAGAACGTAGTGCAAAGATCCCTCCACTGGTCTCCAATCAAATAAAATATTGTCTTCGTTAATCTTGAAGAGCCTCCATAGATTCTCAATTTCATCTCTGAACGCCACCTGTTGCACTCCACTATAGAAAGCAAGGCCCTTTGTCACAACCCCGTGTCCACTCGATGTAACCTCGTCCTTACATCTGCACTCCCGTGTAAATCATAGCTCAAAACGGTCTTACTCTTCCCAAATCCCATTCCTATTTCGAATGCACTATAATTGTATTTTATTTGCTAAGTGTGTTATCTTTTTCTCATTTAAACAGAAAATACTCATATTCTTTGGATCTTTCGGTAAAGTCACGTAGATAGGTTCTAAGAAAATAACAAAAAAATCCCAAACAAGAAAATACTCCGTGACCACTCTTTAGCCCCCTCTCCCCCTTGTAGGGCACCTTAAGTATTGTTTTACAGTATTTCAATATCAAGGAGACATCACGTAATATGCCAGCACATCTCTGCCATACGCTCATGACTTGCTCCTGTTGTGAACATTCTCTATTGCTTCTGTCCTAAATATAGATGAGTAGACGTGCCGTTATCATTGAGTCAAGCATTGAAAGTTACCGCTTGATGCCCATGATTTTTGTTGTCCTGTTTACACAGCTTTATAAATCAAAATTATATTGTGATTTTGCTATTGAATTTTGCCGTGGCTGCCTTCTACATAAGTAATAATTGCTGTTTATGCATCTGTTGTGTAGAAGAACGACGTGGAAGCGAGTTGTATAGGGGCTAACGCCGAATAGTTTATTAGGGGCTTACGCCGAACTCGTTGGAAGGGGTTAACACAATTTGGTACGAACTAATCTCCCCAAGGGAAGGGTACTTGGGAGTTCCCTACACCCTACCAGGTTAACCCTCAGCACTGGCCGAGGGTTCAGCCAACTCGGCCAGCCAGGTAAAATATCCCTCTAGCCTGGCGCTAATTCCCCTTTGACCCGGGGTCCCTACTCCCCTGCCACTCACTACCCTGGCTCCTGGCGAAGAGCCCCTCTATTTCACCGGTCCCCCCTCAAATACCCCGAGGGGACATGACGTCACTCCTGCTGAGGCGAGTGTGACATCCCGTCATCACTCATCCCGTCGTCACTCTACTCCTCAACACATCTGCTGCTGCATGCAGAATCTAAAACTGTTGCAGACATCTCAGCTGCTGCTGTCGATGAGGAAATATGACATCAGCAGTAACCAGATCCAGGGGAAATGTGTTGACCAATGAAAATGCCGACATTTCACAGATATGGGGGACCATGTTGAACGTTAAAATTATGTTGACTGTATAAACTGACTTAAAAATTACAATAAATAATCAGAAAAATACACCTCCGTTCCATGCCTGTCAACATACAAATTTAAGTATATTTTACACATTCCATCAGCCACACGATCTTCTGGCAGCACATTATTTCAGCATCATTAGAGGGACATATATGGGAAGAAGACTGATTGTCTGATTGTTTATTTTGTTACTTACATTCTTCACGATGATCATACTAGTTTTGTGTATTCAAAAGGAATGGAGCTTTCAGCACTGCACAAGCAACCTCAGCGAGTCCATGATGCCATCTGCTTTGGTTTTAACACCTTGTTTGCTTAACCGTAGATTCTCATATTCATCGATATGTAAATCCACATGACAATGAGGATGTCTTGTTCAATGGTCAAACAATGTCACGGTTTAAAAAGGTGTTCTTTTCTTCTTATCTGTCGTCAAATGCATCCGTTAATCCTCGTGTGATCTGCGCCAGTAACTAAAAACAATGATATGCACATAAAAGGGTGCATTGTGGAGTGGCTGCATTACATTAATTCTATGAGTTGTGGATATAACATGAGTTTTACATTTGTTGTCAACGTGCTATTAAAATATGCAACACAAGCAATCATCATCAGGTGTGAAAACCACAGCAAGAACATTTTCGTGAGGAATTTTATATTTTTATTATTATTTTATTTCCCTTCTACGTGACTTTACCTAAAGAACCAAGAATATACATTTACACTTTCAACACAATTAGAGGATTGCATTCATATATATCACACCAAACATTCCATCTTAAAACGTACAGGTAGGCAAAAACCTATTGAGTTTATGGATTAAGGACTAACTCTAGAAACTGCACTAACAAAAGGGAGAGTTATTCTCTGGTCAATAACTTATCTGAGAGGACTTCAGGTTTGACGTGTGCTCTTTAATGCCCTCTGTCGAGGGCAGGCATAAGCATCTCTTAAATAAACTACAGGATGCTGCTGCCAGAGTGCAATGGGTGGCTCGCTGGAACTGCGATCCAGAGTTCGCCAGTTCGATAGTCCCAGCGCGGTAGCTGAAACAGTGGACACGTTTCTTAAATGCCCCCTCACCTTGCCACGGGTGGTGAGATCTTAGCTACTTCGCCTGGTATACAGAGTCTTGGGTTCGATCCCGACCCTGGCGATGCCTGTATATTTGAAGGTTGCATGTTCTCCAGGTGGTTGCGTGGATTTATATGAGGGTCCTCCAGATGTCCTCTCCACACTTAAAACAGGCGTTTAAACTGATTTATCCAGATTAAATATTTCCACGCGATAAGCCACTTCGTTCAGATATCATTTGTGGCCAGGTCGCTTCTGAAAAAGAGCAATATAGTTCAGTGGGCCTTACCTGGTAAAACTAAAATGTTAAACAAACTGCTTCCTTGACTATAATTCAGTACAGCAAGTTGACTAATCGCCATGTGTTCCCATCTATAAGGGGATAGAGTGTTGCCCTCTCACGCGCGTGGGTTGTATCCGGGTCCTCCGGTTTCCTCCCACTTGTAAAACAATACACAATTCATTGTGATTCCTGTAGCCTCTGTCATGTATGTTGAATTTCTTTCGCACCGTACGTGGACCAAGGACAACTAGAAAAAAAAACCAGTTGGCTGAAAGCATCTCAAAAATAAAATCCCAAGGCAGGACTTTCCTGAAAGAAAAAAAAATATGCTCCCACGATTTCAGTGTGGCTTTTCTAGATAATAAGTCAATTATAATTGATATGAGGATTTGGAAAGGGAGGGGGGGGCATTCAGCAGGGCCAGAGGGACGAGGGCTCAGTCCCCCGCAGGCCCCCCAGCGGTGGCTCCCGGCATGAGTTAGTACCGCAGCCAGAGCAGCTCCAGATTTGTGAAAGAAATGAAGCAGATATCAGCTCCATTTCAGATCTTAATATAAGCTAACAGGCTAATTAATATAAACACGCCATTTCACTTGATCTCTCTCATCTCTATTTTTGCCTACATTGACCACATCTCTTATCTCTTTGTCTACAAATCTCAATTAAAACTACATCTTTCACCCCACCTCTAATCTCACATCTTTCTCTCCACATTTCTCTCATCTCGCTCGTCTCTCGTCTACGCATCTTCCTTCCATCTGACGAATGACTTTAAGCCCTCGCAATCTCATGATGAGCTAGGACGTGCGTGATGTGAGGGGGGACGGAGCACACCAACACTGCTCCTGGGGAGGACGGGGGAACACGTTGCTTGCTTGGACATTTCTTGGCACGCAATTGAAAAAGCCCTCTGACACAACCACACCGCCCACCACCCCCCCCCCCACATTCAACGTGTGGAGGGAAATCCTCTGGGCCGACATGCGTGAGCTGTGTGGCCTGGCGGTGTGTGGGGGGGAGGAGGAGGAGAAGGAGGAGGCGCCACGCGATGGGAATGATAATGCCGCATGTCTGCCCGACCGCCCGCCCGTTCTTTCTTTCTTTCTCCTCCTCCTCGCCCATGGTTGGCTGGCTGGCTGGTAGGATTTTTATTTATTTAAAGCACATTTTTATTTATTTCTTCTTCTCATTCCCTCCTCCCTCTTCCTCCTCTTCTATCGCCTCCTCCTCCTCCTCTTCCTTCTCCCTCCCCTCCCCATTCTAAAGGGAGGGAAAATCCTCCCTTGCCGCCTCCCCCCCCCCATCCGCGATAACAATAACAGCGATAATAGCAGCGGTGGCGGCTACGGGCAATGACGAAGGAAGACCGAGGGGAAAACAACAACGAGGACAACAACAACGACGACGACAACAACAACAACAGCAGCAGCAGCGAATAAACGAGGACAAGAGAGAAGGAGGATAAGGACGGGAGGAGATTGTGTGTTCTCCACCCCGCCCACCACCATCATCATCATCTATCTCCCGCTCGCCGTGTCACCCACCGTGTTGCAACACTCGGCACACTCAGCACACACACACAACAGAGAGAGAGAGGGGGAGAGAAAGAGAGAGAAAGAGAGAGAGAAGCGAAAGGCGGGGTTGGTGCGAGGGAGAAACAATGAAATAAACGCGGGGGACGATGCGGATGTCCCCGAGCTCTCACGCCGGCGTCGCTTCGTCGTTCTGCCGCTGACTTAAAAGGAGTGGGCAGCCTCCGCCGCAGCCTCCACATCTCCTCCTGCTCTCATCGATCATCATCATCGATCCACCACCACCACCACGGTCTCCGGCGTCTTGCCGTGTGGTTGTCCATCGTTGTCGACGGCGGAAAGCAGGCGGCGAGAGAGGGCCCCCCCTTGTTTCGTGGCCAGCCACAACGCCAGCTTGTTTACAGGCTCTCGTCTCGTCGTTGTTGTTGTTGTTGTTATTGTGAGACACGCGAATAAGAAGAAAGGGTCTTCTCGCTCGGATTCCCATTGCAAACACCGACGAGAGAGATCTCTCCACCGCCGTCGTCGCTTCGTGGCAGCCTCGGTGGAGGTCGTCCCTCATCTCTCGCTCGTCTCGTCTTCTCTTCGTGGCTGCCAAGCCCCTCCGGCACGGATGGTCACACGGCGTGAGAAGACGACGGGACTTGAGTAGTAGCGGTGATGGTGGTGGTGGTTGTTTCTCCAAGGAATATCATAGCCGGCGAGAACGCGAGCCTCGTGTTTCCTTCGCTTCGAGTCTGTTCGTTTTTAAGTTGACATTCGTGTTTTTAATTGGTTAGCGGTGGGGTGGTTTTTTTTTTCGTTAGCGTCCGTCATTGTAGCTGACGTTGCAGTATTATTACATCGTTCCTTTCAAACCTCACAGCGAGATCGATAGTGAAGAGGAGAGTGTGGACTGAGAGAGACACCCCCGACCCGAGGAGGAGGAGCAGGAGGAGGAGGAAGAGGAGTAGGAGACGACCCCAGGGCTCTCATTTCCCCGCAGCTTTTCTGGGGCTCGGTTGTGTTTTCCTATGCGAGCCGATCTGTTCCCGGGGTCCGGTCTGCTCCAGGACGCCGCGGCCCATGGCCGGGATCCGGCTGCAGATCACAGCTTGCGGCCCGGACAGCATCATCAGCAGCAGCAGCATCATCAGCATCATCAGCTGGAGCAGGAGCTTGAGGCGGCCAAGTCGATGGAGACATGTCACCAGCTGCCCGTGCTGCCCCTCGACCGACCCATCCCCAAGCATGTCCTCTTGCGACGAGGCGCCATAAGCTTCAGCTCCTGCACGGCCCTCTTCAGTGGACCTCAGCCCAGGCTTCTGTCACAGGTAGGCTGGGGAGGGCGAGCCGCTGCTAGCTGCCACACGCTGCTGCTGCTGGTGGTGGTGGTGATGATGGTGGTGATGGTGGTGATGGTGGTGGTGGTGATGGTGGTGGTGATGGTGATGGTGGTGATGGTGGTGGTGGTGATGGTGGTGATGGTGGTGGTGGTGATGGTGGTGATGGTGGTGATGGTGGTGGTGGTGATGGTGGTGGTGGCCTGAACAATAAGTGAATACCTCGGTGGTGGTGGTGATGGTGGTGGTGATGGTGGTGGTGGTGTTGGCCTGAACAATAAGTGAATACCTCGGTGGTGGCCTGAACAATAAGTGAATACTGAACAATAAGTTAATATCTCGGTGGTTGTCTGAACAATAAGTGAATACCTCGGTGGTGGCCTGAACAATAAGTGAATACTGAACAATAAGTGAATACTGAACAATAAGTTAATATCTCGGTGGTTGTCTGAACAATAAGTGAATATCTCGGTGGTGGCTTGAACAATAAGTGAATACTGAACAATAAGTTAATATCTCGGTGGTTGTCTGAACAATAAGTGAATACCTCGGTGGTGGCCTGAACAATAAGTGAATACCTCGGTGTGGCCTGAACAATAAGTGAATACCTCGGTGGTGGCCTGAACAATAAGTGAATACTGAACAAGTTAATACCTCGGTGTGGCCTGAACAATAAGTGAATATCTCGGTCGTGGTCTGAACAATAAGTGAATACTGAACAAGTTAATACCTCGGTGTGGCCTGAACAATAAGTGAATATCTCGGTCGTGGTCTGAACAATAAGTGAATACTGAACAAGTTAATACCTCGGTGGTGGCCTCCGTGGTGGCCTGAACAATAAGTGAATACCTCGGTGGTTGTCTGAACATTAAGTGAATACCTCGGTGAATACCTGGTTTGATGGGGATGGTTTAGTTGAATTTGTAGGTTTTTTGGGTGATTTGTTTGCCTTCGCTGTACTTTGCACTCCCGTCGTGTGCTTGTATTGATTGTTGCTGTAACGTTCTCATCACGTGCCTCCTAACTGGACATCTGTGAAAAAGAGCTTAGTAGCTTATCGGATTCCTCCGGTATACAATGCTTCTTCTGGTCTCTCGGATGGTCGCTGAACGTGCTAGGGTGGTGGGGGGGCATTGGTGCAGTGGTAAACGCCGCCTCTTTGCAACGTTTTTTTATCGGAATTTCAAAGTTGAATCCGTTGAATCTTGTGAACAATCAAAGCGGCTGATGCATCGGTGCTGCGATGACACACATCAAAAGCTGCCGGAGTTTGTTACTTGTGCCACAAGTACTTTACGGTGCATAGTGACGGCACAGCAAGCGAAGTCTGCCAAACCCCTCTTCGTCTGCGCGTTCACACAATAAGTGCATCTTACACGTGTGCAGGAGGGAAAGTAGCGAACATGCAAACTTTTTGACCGTGCAGACATGTACGGTAATCTGCACTGTCGCATGCACAGCGATTTGAGGCGTTCCATGCCTTGGATGCCTGAGCGTGACAATAAACTGGGATGGAGTTCTCTGGTAACTCAGGGGGGTCTCTCCATTGTAGGAGGCCCCTTCTTTACCACAAGTGTGTCAACTTTGCATTGTGGTGGTACGTGTGACGGCATCACGATGCCCTAGGCAGTACTGCATTTTGTTTGGGACAGTCACGTTTGTAATTTGTTTAAATAAGTGCCACTGCGGTGGAGGTGTCCATGGTGAGTGGGGAGCTGCTAATATTTATCGCTTTATACACAATATAAGCCTTGCGTGGGGTCGAGTGGATTTGTTTAACCAGGTGAGAACTCAAGAGACCAGGAGAGACTCATTTGTAAGAGTGACCTGGTGAAGTTTTGTATGCAATGCTGCTCAATCCCAATGTCACAATTTATTAGGAAGCCACTGGAGCGATGCACTTTAAAATCTGGATTGAAAACTAATTTCTTTAAAACAAATGTTTGTGTTAGTTGCAAAACACCGAGATCGTTCTACGTTTCTCCAACTGTTATCATTTCAAAGTTGTGCTATTTCGTGGTTTCACTGAATGAATCGTGGTCTGTTTTTTTTGTATTTAAAGAATACTTAATTGCGTTCCCCATTGCCTTCTATAGCCAACTCAAAATCTTATTTTTCACGAGGGTGACTTTCTTTGTGTGGCTTCTCTCAAGTGGCCCGATAATGTAGTTACAACACAGGTGACAGTGGTCGGGCAGTACACTAATCAACCCATGTATTGTGTTCAAAGGACTCTCCTCCTCGGCCGTACGTATTGTGTTCTGCCTCGACTACTACTTTGGAAGGAGTGAATATTCTATAGAGGCACGACAACACCAAGCGGCAGATATTCATTGCCTTTTGTCAGTAGATATTGGAGCATTTATAATATTGGCGACGTGAAATGTGTTTGCGTATTTATATCACGGTGGTAAGTGCAGTTTTGAGTGCGTCCCGGTTTTCATTAATTCAAATTGTTCGTGCAGCATTGCACATTTACAAACTCTTGTGCAGGTACTGTACCCGGACATATGTCTACGGTGTGTAAATTAATACAGTATGCTGTGTATATTACAGTATTAGCCGAGCGCGGGGCATATTTCTGAATAATGTGAAATCAATACGGACAGCATTTGTTTTTCTGTTTAAATCTGAGAGATAGCTCTGAGCAGTGGGGCGCAATGAAACTCCATCACTTTGGTTTCACGGCGTTCGTAAAGGGACAGACAAGGGATAGAAACAGGAAGATGTAACGAGGAAACCCCTCCCAAAATGTAGCACGCAAACCCCCCTCAAAACTCCCACTATCTCCACTGTAAAAAAACAGCATCAGTCCAAGCCTGGCGACGTTGCTGTTGAACAAGAGAATGAGTGGCTTGCATTGAACGTTAGTAGACATTTCACATGGTGGTTTAATTAGCAAGCCGATAGATCCCCGTAGAGCATTATTTATACAGCATGGCATTTCGGCCTGCAATCCAGAGGTAGCCAGTTCAACATTCGAGTCACACTGGAGTTGTTAATTCGCGATATACAGAATTCCATCTGGTGGGGAGGGCGGGGGAATGGCTGCAACTGTAGAAAATTGATTTGTGGTTCACTTTTTGATGAGGCAAACATGTGGGTATTAGATAGGGAATGTCTGTCACTCTCAAGTTGAAAAGAGGGCATTGTGGAGCGCATAGAAAATTATTACCTCCTATAATTAAACTATTTGCGAACAGCTCATTTTTGTGCTGCGAATTCCTTTCAATTTATCATTGTTCTAAGTAGTGTAAGGAACTTGCTTTAAAGGACTGTCCTTGTCCCAGTGTGCTATGTGGAATGATCACAGCCTCCACTTGATCTTCAAGCTACACTTGTGAGTCAGTAGCCACTTTTCGTGTCTTTTCACAAGGAAGTTTTTTGTTATGTAAAAAAAAATGGTTTAACTTATCGTATTTTAAAATCCCCGTGTCTTGTGGAAGGATTATATCATTATTTTAATTGAATCATTGTGCCTACTATACACACACACACAAACACTATTTTATAAGTGCTGTGTGTTTACACTTTATATCCTGTATATAATACATTCTACTGTACGTACTAATATAATCGGAGACATGTGTAATAAGTCATTTGTGTGCCAAGACACGCATCGTTGTGTGATACTTTTTAAAACGTATGCGGCCCAACAAACTCTAAACCCGGCCGTTTTTTAAGCCCTGGAAACTTCTGTACACATGCTCAAGATTCAGGAAGGGACAATTTTGCAATTTAGTACAGTAATTGCGGATAATTCCAAATTTGGCCCAGGCACTGGCATGCAGTCGTCCACGTTTATAGTAAACATCATCACTGGGGGTCCATACAAATAATCAGGCAGTGGTGGGTGAGCTTGTTGTGTGTACGTGTTCCCACAGTGGGTGGGTGGCACTGTGTGTTAGCGGGGCCCACGAGGTTCGGCCTCACACTTTGAACTCACTGGCAAATGGAATACAATCTGGGACATCCAGCGACCACGATACAAATACATGGTGGTGGGTGTATGCTCATGATAGCCCGAAGGTAATAGTACACACAAGAAACCAAAATGACTTGTTTGCGTTTGAAGAGCATAAAACTTGTGCGAATGTTGTGCGTAGGGCGTTCCTCTACGTTCAGTGGAGGTCTTGTAAACAATTGTAAACGGTTTATGTTTACGTTTATTATCTAATGAAATGGCTTCTTTTAGAAGTCGTGCCAATGCACAGACGTATCGCAATTCTTTCTTTGCACGTATCCCTTTGCTTGTTGTTTTAGGAAGTTATATAAGGTGGCCAAATTAACGAGTGATTTCTCTGCCAATTTACATTGGAGATTGTTAAGAGTTTTGTGAAGTGATGAGGTGACTGGATGGCTTATTGGGCCATCCAGCCACTACTCCGTTACTCCTTCCAATGTTTTAGGATTTACATGGATGGCTCCATCAAAGGTAACAAATCTTCTCAACGTAATGTGTTGCGGTAGGTCACCAACACCCACGTTTTTTTTTCTATTTTTCAGGTTAAGTTCAAAGCTGAAGGCTAACCTAATTTTCCATCAATTGTTAACGTACAGAGTATGTGAAGAAAGCGAAATTAAAAAAAAATCAGCTTGGGGCTGTGTTTAATGATGGCTTGCAAAAACGGCCTTTTGATTGAGACCCCAAATGTGGTGTTCTGGTTTATCTTTTCGAGTGTCGTTATTGGCTGTCCCTCTGTCACCAAACTGCACTGATTAGTGTGGTGAAATATGGTTATTTGACCATGGTGGTTATTTGACTGTACTTCACCACACTCACATGGCCAGTCATGGGGAGGCCTTCACCCAGCAGTAGATTGATAAAGGGCTGTGCATCACGTAATACCATGGAGAGGAGCATTCACTCGTGTGGAACTTGCTAAGCAACTCTACTGACAATGCATGCAAAATACCAATTGCGTGCATTGTGCACACGCACATTTCATAGGACTGCAGTTCTTATCGTGTAATGCATTGTCAACGAGTGT